TTTTGTGACGCCACGTGGTGTTGTGACGTGACAACGTGATTGTGATGACGTCACCACCTGACGTCATGTGGTGACGTAGTCACGTGATTCACATCCACATGACGTCATCATGACGGAACCGGCCGCCAATTTTTGTAGCGCCACTATGTTGTTTGTGACATCGCTTCACGAGACATCACATTATGAGGTCATCAAACGACATCGTAGCTTGGTCAATGCTGGGCCGATCACGAAGGCAGTGCGAAACCAGGCGAAGTAACTCCGATACTCGAGGCAGTGCAGACGTATTTAGGAGGGGAGCGGAAGTGGAGGACCAATGCAAAGATTGCGAAGACGATAAAGGTTTTCACGTTCCAGTCATCTTGGTTGAGTGCACATCGAAGCCTGTTTGTTTTCATTGACGTATTCTCCTTAGTTGCTCTGTGACCCCTTACTCTTTTCCGAGTACATGGTGGCAACTTGTAGATACCCGCTGGTTAGTCTTGTTGTTCTTCATCTTCATCAGTGTGTCTGTCTACGGTGCGTACTAAACGAAAGCCGTTACCTGGCGCTATAAACGAAGGCATATAACGCACACACGTACAAAATGTCGTTGTCTTTGCAGGTAGCGTAGCGAAAGGTTGTAAATGAGCAATCATGGCAACAATCTATGTTAAAAAAAACGCGCATATCAAAGATTAGGACAAACAGACATGACGATGGCTAAGTCAAACGAGCGCTTTATGAATAATAATAATAATAATAATAATAATAATAATAATAATAATAATAATAATAATAATAATAATAATAATAATAATAATAATAATAATAATAATAATAATAATAATAATGATGATGATGATGATGATGATGATAATATACTAACGTGACGTGAAACAAACATAAGGCTTTTGTTCAGTTGCGCGCAAAAATAAAACAATAAGAATTGTTTTGCAGCTTTTACCTGCCATTCTCGTAAGTTATTCTTATTGCGGAATAAAATTTCAAATGCAGAATCAAGCAGAAGCGGGAGTAGTACCCATCACATACGGGCACGGCTACTAGGTGAAAGCCATTTTGAGATGCTGACAAAAAATCAATACGCGTTTGAACGTCGCCCTAAAAAAAAAAATTCACTCTTCCGTACTCGCATACAATACCGGCACTGTTTCGGAATGGACTTTGATTAAATGTTCATTTCGTGTTTCTTAGAATTGCTTCTCTGGCCAAAAAATGGCAGGAAACAAATGCTAACGCATTTGTCATTTGTTTTACTTGCGACATATGGGCTCCTAGTGGAGAGGTCGTTATATAGCCGAAGAGAAAGCTTAACACTTCAAGGACATCGAAGGCAATGATCCTGTTCATTCGATGTGCACCACTCACAACAATAGCAAAAAGGAAAAAAAATGTTTGGAAGAATGCACCATGGTGATGGAGTAGCTTAGTTCCATTCCGCCCACAATTACGGCGCTTTTAACGACCTCAGGCAAGAAATAGAATTAAATTTATCCGGTACTAGCAGAAGCGTGCGCAACCAATGGTCGAGTTCAAAACTGGCTTTTCGTTGGGTTTGGTTTTTGCGGCAGTTTGTTTGAAGTGGTTCTCTTAGAAGCCGGCATGGTGTGTCATCAATTCTGCCGCTACTGCTTCGAACACTATAGCTTTGCAAAAGCAGCAATTCCATTCATGACATCCGGCTGTCCAATCAATTCTGCTGGCGAAAGCCCCATTAAGGCTCTCTTTTCCGTTATCCTATTCTTTTTTTTAAATTTTGAACAAGGGCTAGAATTTCTGAAATATGCAGCAAGCGCTATGTACCCAAAGTTAAAACTATTTGCTCTCAGTATATTATGGCACATCACACCTATAGTCCTCGGTTTATATTCAATTCAATGCACAGCAAGCAAAAGATTTCAGACTGGAGTATTCGTGTTGCTTTTATGCACTAGTAATGAAACCAGCAGGCCCATAGAGCCAAGGAAAGCACAGAATGCATTATTTGTGACTTCACAACTGTAATTTAATGATTCTCACTTGAAAATTGAAAGAAATTAACGTGAACGAAAAATCACTCTTTCCGTCAGAGGGATCCCTCCCGATCCACGTCCTTTGAATTAGCCCAGTTCTTTGTAGCACGCGGGATGTGCTTAAAGATGTTCTATTGTGTGTGCGTGCCTCTTTCTCTCTTAGTATGTATGTATGTATGTATGTATGTATGTATGTATGTATGTATGTATGTATGTATGTATGTATGTATGTATGTATGTATGTATGTATGTATGTATGTATGTATGTATGTATGTATGTATGTATGTATGTATCTATGTATGTATGTATGTATGTATGTATGTGTTTATAAAAGAGAGAGAGAGAGTGAACATAATCGTGTGTGCGCAGGTGTGTGTGCGTGCGTGTGCATACTTTTCAATCAGAGCATGATGTGATGCGTAACTGATTATTTCAAGTCATACCTGCTATGTTTCTTTTTAGAAATGCCTTGATCAATCAACACAGCCTGCAAGGGAGGAAGAATTGATATAAAACATTTTGTCTCGATCTCGAGTACTGTCTGGTATTTAATGACATCGAAGTATTTTTGTGTCACTTCAGCCATGCGTGAAAGAACGCAGCCGGTCATTTCTCGGTAGCCCCACCGTAGTTGGAGTTACCAAAACGTGAAATTATTTGGGTGCTTTCATTTCAGTGCGCTCTACTCTCCTGCTGCATCTTGTTAATATGCCCGGCAAAATGAAAAAAAATCACAGAATATACACGGAGTGAATAATAATGATGAATGGGGCGAAGCGTCCGTCCGTTCGTATTTGCTTTCGTCCGTCCGCGCGACCATCCGTGCGTCCATCTATGCGTCCGCCCGTCTGTCCGTGTGTCCGTCCGTGGGTCCATACATTCGTTTGTCCGTCCATACGTCCGTCCATCCGTCTGCACGTCCACGCGTCCATCCATATGCCCATCCGTCTTCTAGTCTGTCTGTCCGTCCGTCCCTGCGTCCATCTAGGGAACACTATAAGTACCGCCATCTCGCATCTAGCATCCCCTGTGGCACATACCCGCTCCGTGCGTCCATCCATCCGTCCGTCCGTCTGCTAGTCTGTCTGTACGTCTATCCATGCATCCGTCCGTGCATCTGTCTAGTGAACACTCCAAGTACCGCCATCTCGCATCTAGCATTTCTTGTGGCATATACACTCTCAAGAGCGGATGTGTGCCACCGGTGGCTGTGTAAAATATCGGAGGATGTACAGACCGACGCTTTAAGGAGCTTTACCCCCAAAAAGCAAATATTTATTGTACGCAATTGAAATAACGATAAATGATCGCGAACAGCATGCCCTTATGAGAGAATAGACTGGAAGAAAATGTATCAGCAAACTCTGCTTGCTTCTCATTGTCACCATGCAAACAAAGCGAGAAATAAAAAGCAACGACCTTGTAGGAAAGAAGGAAACTTGTCGAGATGTAAGAAATAAAAATAGAGGGGTCAGACAAGCTTCGTCAAAGGAAGGAAAATTTATTCCACAAATAACGAGGTGGCTCGGCCGTCACGCAACGCAATCAGGCACGGTATTGTGTGCGAAAAAGAAATGAAAGGAGGCAGCATAGTTTCAACATTCAGAACATTGACGACCCCCCTTTACGGAAGTATGAACAAAACCCAAGTTTAAGAGAACGCGCCAGCTTGTCTTTTAATTTTGGGCCCAACGCTCACCCCTGCCCCCGAGGGAAACTGTGCGCGTGTTTGCAGAACCCCGCAAGGGGGGGGGGGGGGCTCTGTGCCTTGCACGGGGGATGCACCATTGTTGCTATCAGTGAGGACGCGCTTATGTTTGGCATGCTTTCGGACTTTTTTCTTTATTACAGTGATATGGTATTTCGTGCCGAACGGAGAACTTCGCGCTCTTCGCACATTTTATATTTATAGTGCGCTGCCTGCTTTTTATTCAGGGCTTCCCTACACGTGATATTACAGCTCCACGTGCGTCACATCCCTTTGTGCGCCTTAACGAAATTTCCTCCGTGCGAAACGACGAAGGAGCTAGCAGTGCTGTGAAGATGAATAGCTGCAATGTTGCGCAACTCTATTATTACTTACTTTCTTTCGGAATAAAGGAGGATGCAATAACACGTAACACAATATAAAAGGTGACTCAGAAATTGAAATTCGTTGCTCTCCAGTATTACACGGCACTTCCAATGACAACGAGACTGTTTGCACTGGCGTCGGTTTTTGTGGCTTGCTAGCTATATTTATTTGTGAACACACACGACTGTTTGAACACATATGTAATCTGAAGACAACCATGCTTCAGTTACAGCTCGTTAGATTCACTGCCACGTTTTTTTTTTACAATATCTTACATAACTCCTTCTTTGAAGGTTGTTTGTTCGAGCTAAATTTTGTAAAGAACCTCTAAGCGATCGCTGAGCCTTCTTCAGCAAAGCAACAGGTGTCTTTGCTTGTTGTACCATGACAAAATAATGAACGACAGATTTACGTTGTGAGTGACATTGGAAGTTTTAGAATCGTTCTGGCGCAGGCATGTTTCACTTTAACAATGACTGAAAAAGAAGAAATCAAGGTCAAGGAGGCTTGTAAAAAAAGCTATCTGGTTTACTAACATGTATCGCTCAGTTATGAAAATAAAAAAAAAACTATTGAGCACGTTTTCTTTTTACTTCAATGGTCAGAACGTTCTTGTTAAAGTATCCAAAAAAAAAGTAAGAACGTTGATAGCAGCAACAATACTTCGAATATCAACGCAGCAAACTTCTTTGCTCTTTGAATTTTCTCAAGAAGCGTCTACATGCATAAAATAACCGTTATCTGCTTGCGGAGCAGCACGCTCAGCGATGGTGGAGGATCATGCGAGGTCCTGAAATTCGGCGGATTCTTGGCATTTTGCTTTGCTGACAAAATTCTCAGAAAGACAGGGCTCAGCTTTTTTCTCTCGGTCACATGCTTTTGTTGGCAAGTTCTCAACTGGACGGGGGCTTACCATTGCCGCAGCTAGCTTGCTAAGAGCTTCGGGCACGTAATCCAAAGGTCGCGGCATCTGTCCCTTCACGGGGCAAGTTGTCTTTTTGTCCACTCCAAATACTTCACATCCGCATCACAATTACTACAATTCGCTTAAAGCAGTACATATAACGTCATCTCTAATTTCCCGGGCTTCCTTTCCAGCTCGTTTTCACAAAGCTCTAAAAGAGTATAACGAATAAGAACAGAGCCACTAAGCGTCCAGCGTATTAGAGGAGCACAAGAGCTGGTAGCATTCTTAATCCTTCAAACATTTGATGCCCTTTGGAACAAAACGTGATCCAGTGTTTCTCGTTTTCCTAATGCGTTTAGTCAAGCTATGTTTATGCAGCCGGATTATACAGCATGGTTAGTGCCATAACGCTAACAAAAACCGCTAGGAAGCCTGACGATGCAAGCGTGTCAGAACGCACGTACGAAGATTCTCTCTGAATCCCTTCTCGCAAGCGATTACGAGAACACGAGACAATCTTCGAAATTTACGTTTTTCATTAAAGAATACGCTGTTGAAGATATTCTGCAATTCGCTGTAATTGATGATAATTTGTGTGCACTAATTTTAGCCACTTGAAACAGAAAAGAACACATATTCATGCAATGACGCGTTAAACGCTGAATTACATACGAGTACAGTGATATACAGATCGAGAAAGAAGGAAAAAAGAAAGAAATAAAAAACAAATAATTGAAAGAAAGAAAGAAAGAAAGAAAGAAAAAGAAAGAAACTGATTGTCCAGTGAAAATGCTACGTGCGCCGCAAACACGGATAATTCATAACGTGATGAGAGTACTTCCATGTATTGTTTAACGTTTGTGGGGAGTATAGACCTAACTACATCGAAAGTGCGCACCTAGCTTGCACGTTTGATGTGTTAAAACAAGAACGTATGAAGTGACCAACGCAGAAGGTGTATATGCAAGCACAACTTTTTTTTTAACAGCAAGGCTCTTTAAGCCCATCGTACGTAAAAGATTTATTGTGTACAATGTGTACATACAATTATCATCATTCGCAACCGACACGTGGTCTCTCTCTCTCTCTCTCTCTCTCTATATATATACATATATATATATATATATATATATATATATATATATATATATATACTATATAATATATATATATATATATATATATATATATATATATATATATATATATATATATATATATATATATATATATATATATAACAACCTAGCATCATCTAGATAAAGCCTAGCAACCATCTAGAAGTAACCTGATAAAACTTCAGAACCGTCAAGATTTGCTGTTTCAAGCCTTGCGCGACTGAATGCAACTCTCATTTTTTTTTTCGCTTTCCTATCTAAAAAAAGGCATTTTGATTCAAACAACTAAGGGAGAAGGGGCAACGTTCGCTACTTGCTTGATTTATTATTGTTTTGTTAATAATGAAGAAAAAGAAAACAAAGACTCGCACCTTTTTCGTCGCGGCTTTCAGAAGGGCCATGTGTGGGTCTCGCCCTCTGGCGGCCAAGAAGGCCGGTAGCGCTGGCCTGGGGCCGGTCATCCGCGGCGAGCATGGGGCGACTCACGCCGTACTGTCCCGGGACGCCAGCAGATGGCGATGGTTGCGGAGGAGCTTGCGCAAGTGGCCTGCGTCAAAGCGACAAACCCCACAAGTAAGACACACAGAAATGATTGCGAGTTCAACAGTTATGACACGAAAGTACGGAGCCAGCAGTGACTGCGGCCCTCTTGAAGTTATGTGCCACACGATATAGAACGTAAATGAGGCAGAGTTGGAAGTCGCAACCCCGTATAGTGACACCACTGCACATATCAAAGCTGGTACCAAGAACTCAGTGCCCTTCTTCACGACCTAATGACCTATGCGATCCCATAATAACGCGAAATTGATCGCCCCAGCTATAATGTTTACTGCGTGCATTGTTTTCTTCCTAATTCCGGTCTGTTCATTCCGTAGGACACGCAGAATCCGTCTCTCCAAAGGTACGTGCTGCGAATGATAAAAAAAGGGCAGCTAACATGAGTGAACCGTCCATATCTGTACGTTCGCATCTAGCCAGTTGTTGCTGCTTTACTTGTACTTTCTTATTTGTCTCAGAACATCATCGTTAAATGCGAAGTGAAACGAAGTGCTGCATAGACGAACAGGGACGTGTGACACAAGAACATGAAACGGGCAAGAATCGTGAGCAGGGAGCTTTGATGGACAAAAAAGAGTGTACGACTTATCTTCAAAAGTAAAACGTCACCAAAGAAATCACTCTAAATTTCCCAACTACAAAAAGATGCAATTAATTTTGTGATTAGAAAAACAACGTTTTTAAGCGGCGTTATAAAAGGTTACGAACCAACTTGATTAAAGCTGAGATAAAGATAAATGAGTAAAAAAAATGTAATGAGAGTGAAGTGTTTCTTGTTTTTAAAAGAAAACGTCGCGAAGTTTGCAAACATGATGCCAAGAACAAAATGCGGAAAACCAGTGATCCTCTTAATGTAACTGTGGGAATTATAGGGTGAAGAGAAATTGAAGCGATCGAGAAGTGCGACTTTTGCTTGGCGATATCAAAAGCCACATCGCCTGATATACGCATGCGTTGCACTGATAATTGCACAATGGTGAACGCTTATCACATCCCGATGTGTTTCCTTTCTTTTGTTTTTATTATCTAATAATAATATTATTGAAAATGCGGCATCATTAAGAAGCCCGCGGCTGTGGAAAGCTCCGGTAATTTCGACCACCGCAGCTGGGGTCGAGCCCACGTCTTCTGGGTTGACAGAGAGCACCATAACTATCGTAGCAGTGTGGGGGCGTGTAGTACGTTATTATTGCTTTTATGCGGCTGTTTTAGGCTCTCTGGTTCTTCTTGTTATTTATTTAAAGATGGAAATTTATGGGTCCATATTGAAGCCGCAACAAATGCACTCCGACCGCCACAGAAAAAATAACGATAATGATTGCAGCGTCTCGACATACAGAGAATGTGATCAAACAAAAGCCAGAAGATTAATACAAGAACCCAGTGTTTACGTTGCTGCCTATCTGAATGATATTTTTTCCCCCTTATACACGGTGTCAACGCTAATCATGCAATGCATCGAAATACGCGAGGGCAGTAGGATGAAAAGAATACAGCCCAAATACCCCTTTTAAAGCAATATTAATCTCGAGCGCAGGCTTCACTTTCGTAGAAAAGCCGTAGCAACGCGCACTAAACTCGGCAAGCACCGAAACTTCGATATAAGAAATGATTTTTGAGGAAGTAACGAAGCAGAAAGACAAGCCCTCACTGAAATTCTCATGACTATGTCTCTTCGCCAGCTGTGCAATCTTATTCCGAAAACGTCTCAGAACGTTTTCGTTGCTCTCACGTCTTAAAGCTAAAATAATTATTCTGTTTATCGAGTGCGAGACTAGAATATAAATATTTTCCTCTTCTGTAACGTCGATTCCGAGCGTTGGAATGCGAGTGTTTCAAAATTGATAACGACATAGGCGTTCTCGATTTTGAAGGCCTGTTCACCAACAACGCAATGCTTTGTGTATATATGTGGGCACATTGAGTCTCTGCTTGGGCTGACAAAGCTGTTTTTTAGCCTGAATGGCTAAAATCATTATACAAACAAAAATATTTTGCAAGACTGGAAATGAATGAGTGTAATCAACTAAAACAATATTGTCGCGTCGAAAAATGGAAACTGGCCAGATAAGCCATTCATTCATTCATTCATTCATTCATTCATTCATTCATTCATTCATTCATTCATTGAACGCGAAGTCAATAATATTGATTCTCGTGCTACGGCACGCATTATAATTATCTCGTGATTTCCGCACGTAAAACCCATTCTCTAAAGTTAGTTTTGTCATTCTGCACTTCATGGCGATTTCGTTACGCCTCACAATCGTCCTAACATAAACCCTTAGTGCTTGCCAAATGTGCTCCACCCCATTCTTATTCTTCTAGTTACTTCAATCTCGTGATTTGGATCCGCGGTTATTGCCTGCCCTAAGTAGACATAGTCTTTTACAACTTCAAGTGCACTATTACCTACCTCGAAGCGCTGCTCTTTTCTGAGGTAGTTGTACATTACTTTTGTTTTGTGCAGATTAATTTTGAGACCCACCTTTCTGCTCTCCTTGTCTAACTCCGTAATCATGAGTTGCAATTCGTCCCCTGAGTTACTCAGCAATGCAATGTCATCGACAAAGCGCAGGTTACTAAGGTATTCTCCATTAACTCTTATCTCTAACTGTTCCCATCCTAGGCTTCTGAAAACCTCCTGTAAGCACGCGGTAAATAGCATTGGGGAGGTTGTGTCCCCCTGCCTTGCACCCTTCTTGATGGGTATTATGTTGCTTTTTTTATGAAGCACTATGGTAGCAGTTGATCCACTGTATATTTCTTCCAGGATGTTTATATATACTTCATCGACGCCCTGATTCCGCAGTGTCTGCATGACGGCTGATATTTCTACGGAATCAAACGCCTTCTCGTAATCTATGAAGGCTATGTATAGTGGTCGGTTACATTCTGAGCATTTTTCTATTACCTGATTGATAGTATGAATGTGGTCGATTGTTGAGTAGCCTGTTCGAAATCCTGCTTGTTCATTTGGTTGATTGAATTCCTACTTTTTATTTACTTTGTTAGCAATTACCTTTGTAAATAGCTTGTATACTACAGAGAGCAAGCTGATCGGCCTGTAATTCTTCAAGTCCTTGTCATCTCCTTTTTTATGTATTAAGATGATGTTAGTGCTCTTCCAAGACTCTGGTACTCTTCCCGTCAGGTGACATCTCGTAAACAGAGTGACTAGTTTTTCTAACACAATCTGTCCTCCATCTTTCAGCAGATTTCATGTTACCTGATCCTCACCAGCAGCTTTGTCTCTTTGAAAGCTCTCCAAAGCTTTTATGACTTCTTCTATGATTACTGGTGGGGTGTCATCTGGGTTACTGCTAGTTCTTATAGTATTAAAGTCGTGGTTATCCCGGCTACTGTACAGATCTCTGTAAGATTCCTCCGCTATTTTAACTATCCTATCCATATTGGTAGTTATTTTGCCTTCTTTGTCCCTTAGCACATACATCTGATTTTTGCCTATCCCAAGTTTCCTCTTCACTGCTTTGACGCTACCTCCGTTTTTCAGAGCGTGTTCAATTCTCTTCATGTTATACCTTCTCACATCGCATACCTTACGCCTATTAATCAACTTTGAAAGCTCTGCCAGTTCTATTTTGTTTGTTGTACTTGAGACTTTCATGATTTGGCAAGCACTCTCAAATTATGACAGTTAGATGGCCACTATCCCTCAAGAGGAAGGTATATAACAGCTGTATCTTGCCGGTACTCAGCTACGGAGCAGAAACCTGGAGACTTACAAAAAGGGTTCAGCTTAGATTGAATACGACGCAGCGAGCAATGGAAAGAAAAATGGTAGGTGTAACCTTAAGAGACAAGAAGAGAGCAGAGTGGATTAGGGAACAAAAGGGGGTTAAAGATATCATAGTTGAAATCAAGAAGAGGAAATGGACATGGGCCGGGCATGTAGGGCGCAGACAGGATAACCGCTGGTCATTGAGGGTAACTGAATGGATTTCCAGAGAAGGCAAGCGGGTTAGGGGGAGACAGAAGGTTAGGTGGGCAGATGAGATTAAGAAGTTTGCGGGTATAAAGGGGCAGCAGCAAGCACAGGACCGGGTTGACTGGCGGAACATGGGAGAGGCCTTTGTCCTGCAGTGGACATAGTCACGCTGCTGCTGCTGCTGCTGCTGCTGCTGCTGCTGCTGCTGCTGCTGCTGCTGATGATGATGATGATGATGATGATGATGATGATGAAACCCTTAGTGCCCTAAGGTCAGTCCGGCTACGACTTATGCGGGGGAAAATAGACGAACGCAATTCGCGCGTGCATTGCGCTGCGTAAATTACAGTCATGGTGTCGTCTACACATTAACCACTCTTTAAATATTAGCAACTAAGCGCCTGGGAGGGCCACTGGATGCTTTTGGTGACCAGCGTGGTGATTACAGTTGATTACGGTGAAATTCTCCCACTTCACACTTTTTTAGATATTCCCAATAAGCTGTCGAGGAGGACCCTAAACGTTGCGAGGTTGCTTGAAACGATTATTAGGGACCTCTTGCAAATAGAGATTGGCTGCTTTATAGCAACGACTGAGTTTCCAATGAATAAACTCAGTGACGAAAGCAGGCGTCCCTCTCCGATTAATAGGAACGGTTTACACTATCCGTAGAAGTTACTTTACAATCCTCTGAATATCAATACAATCATTCCTAAGCAATCATCTAGTGTGGTACTTTGCTTATGAAATTAAGCTGTATTTACATTTTTTTTATTACTTTCATTACTTAACAATTGTATAATGATAATATCTATAACATGGATGCCCTGTTTCTTCTACTGAAATGTGCACATTTTTTAATTTTTTTTGTTCTATTATCTCTCTCATGCAACGAACTCCAACCATGAAATACGTTCGGTTGGTTTCGCTGTCTGTCAGGCTCTGCTACTAGTTAGCTTAGGCAGGCCTAGTAACATATGCTACTTTAGTTTAGGAAATAAAAGGCATTATTAATATTATTATTATTATTATTATTATTATTATTATTATTATTATTATTATTATTATTATTATTATTATTATTATTATTATTATTATTGTTGTTGTTATTTATTAGTATTATTACTACCAAGTAAGACGAAAATGATTGCATTTGCCGTCCGATTATGAAAGCGCCTCAGACTGGTAACACGTGTGCTTAGACTTGATTGTCTGTAATGCCATTTATTGATCGACACTATTTACTCAGACACGCATTTCTTCCAAAGCGAAAGTATTTATATGCCCCATCAAACGCAAAAATTGACTGGCGTCCCGCTTCGGTATCTCTCTTCGGCGGCGTCAACGTGAGCGGTGCAAAAAATAGTGAGCACGTGATGTGACGACATCCCCACGTTACGTCTTGACGTCACATATCACCATATATGGTTGGGTCATGATGACCGTGAAGTCAAAGTGACGTCACGTGGCGCAACGTCACATTACGGTGTCATCATGTGAGATCGTATAGCTTAGTCTAATATGAGTCGATCAGGGAGGTCGTGCAAAACCGGGTGAGATGACTCCGATCTCAGAGGCAGTGGACCAAAGAGGAAAGGAAGGTCGCTTTCGCCTTCCAGACTGTTTATGTGAGTGCATAGGAGATCTCGTTTAGGCAGCTGAGCTACGGTGTACAAGAATGGGGCCATGTGCCGTCTGGCGCCGAAAGCATAGCTCTTTTTTGCGATGATGGCCTGTGATGACGGAGCACATCCTACTACTGTGGCGCGACCATTCGGCCCCACTCTAAGTAATTCGTGAGAGGCTTAGATACAAAGCCCCCGAGATCGTTAGCTGTAGTTGCCGCGCTCGTCGTAACTTGTGTAAAAATAATTAGTAAAATGTATTTAAAAAATAAGAAATACAGCAGTATTCGTGATGGAGGGTTTTTTTTTTAACATCGCAACTTTTTACTTTTCTGGGTCATGCTGGTGAGGCGTGGTCGTGGAACTCACCTGATTATGTTCACGTTGTCTTCCCGGACCTCCTTGTTCTATAGAGTTCATATACAGTGTCAGCATATTAACTCTATGGCTCGTACGTTTCATCCCATAATTTTAGATTAGTGTGACAGCTATAGGCAAATATGTATATGCATGGAATGAAAAGTGAAGTGCAGTTTTTTACCTCTTCTGCAGGTAAAACAGTAAGCAAGCAGACTACCTGGGACGCTGTTATGCAACAAAAAATTGTGAAAGCTCATACGGTGCAGAAGCAGCTTGATTTATATTATTAATGCACTAGAATGAGTTGTATGTGTCTTATTCTTCTAGATACTTTTAGTTTCAATCGTGTGATGCGACTATTATACTTAAAAAACTGCAGAAAGTTTCGCAATGCAAATTAAAATTACGCGCACTGGGCACACCGTTCGATGGAGGCGCCCTACTGGTGGTGTCATCGCAAAATCAACCACAGATTTCCCATTTATTCGCTGCCAAGTCGGCACATAACTCGATTCTAGTAAACCATAGCTGAACTTTGCGTTTCAACATTAACTGCGTTGCAGTATAAGTCTGCAGACGCCATGCAATCTTTTGAAGAAAAAACAATGTCAGAGTCACGCTTCAGAGAGAGATAGCTATAACTTTTCGGAAAAGACAGCTGACTTGTACGTCGAAAGAGAATATATGTGGGAAATCAGTCGTCACGAAAAAAAAAAAAAGAGAGAGAGAGAGAGAGAGAGAGAGAGAGAGAGGAGTGATTTTTTTCTCTAACACTGTCGAATTTCAATGCGTATGTGTAACAAGCCTTTCCCACGTCTCTGTGTCCAGTGTAAACGGATGTTCTTAAACAACCTCAAATCAACTCACCGCGCATGAAATTCACCCGCGCTATGTTCGTACGTATTTCCGGAAGTGCGCACCCGGAAATAACGAAAGACACAAGTCATGAGCCGTGGGGGAGAACGTATATTTTACCGGCCCAAAAGGTCCGCTTGATGAAAGCAGTCGCAACACTACAAAACACAGGCGACAGCCCGAAGCGTCGACTCGGATGCGCGATTCGTTGCTCCCATCCAAAATGCCAGTCACAGATGCCGGGGCAACGCGCCGAAACGGAGACGCGAGGCTCCCCGCTTTTTTTTTTCGGCATTGTACAGCGAGAAACAACGGTGGGGACATGACGCGCAGTGAACGGGACGACACCCCGGAATCCAGGGATCAGTAAACCCTGTCCTCTCGGAAAATGTTGGGGAGGGCAGCAAAGTATGAATAATGAGAAAGGCGAGATGCGGAATGGAGGAAAATATAAGTTAGTAGCGAACATTGCATGACCTTCCTACCTTTTCTTATATTTTCTCTCTCTCCCCCCTCTCACTGGGTAAACTGAGAACGCGAACATTTCGCATACTTAGGGAAGTGCATAAGTTAATTCCTCCAGACAAAAACTAAGTTTAAGATTCACCTGTATGCGCCAGTTACGACCTATCGTTTCATCATTTTCGTTTTTCTCAGATACAATCATGTGTGGCGGCTGCAATTTCAATGGAGGTGAAAATGCTGTAGGCCCGTGTGCTCACATTTGGGTGCACGTTAAAGGTGGTCCAGGTGGTCGAAATTTCCGGAGCCCTCGACTACGGCGTCTCTCATAATCATATGGTGGTTTTGGGACGTTAAACGCCACATATCTATCATTCAATCAGACACAATCATGTCAGCTAAATTCTCGCGCTAGAGAACAATTAAAATACAGGAATGCTGTATCGATGCCGAATGACCTTCCTTTAAAATGCTTGTGAGAAAACAATGAGCGGCCGTCGTCGGATGGAATTCCCTGCGTTTCACGTACACGTATGAAGACCCTTACAATAGCAAACGGTGATACATATTCGAGATTTATGAGATATACTGCTTCAGAGAAGCTTTAGGCCATCACGTAGAAAGAAATCACTCTTTAGTTAATAAGAATTCGTCTACAATACTGAAAGGGTGAGCTTGGAAGTGTTCATTCACGGAATAATTGCGCACAACGTTTATTATGTCTCTACCTACGTGTTTTTCAACACTTCTCCGTGTCTGCTTGTATAGCGAAAGCAACTACCTGGTCTCCGAATATATCAACTCTTTTCATCCTGCGTACAACTTCTACGTCCAATATGAAGCTGCTTATTACGAATCTTACTTTCAAATAGCTTGCTGCATCTCGTTTTCATCTTTTTCAGCCTCATCGCGCTACAAAGCCGATGCGACGAGAGAGACTGAGCCATCGCAGAGATGCCTTATTCAGGAATCTGGCCAGTGCAGTCAGAATACTGCGAGATTAGTAATCGGACCACATTGCAGTGAGAAACCGGACACGAGAGTTCATTGTCAGGGGGATGGCAGGTGCATTGTCGTCAGTTTTGTCGCGTCAGAAGCAACAACGAAAAAAAGGAGCATTTGTTAGCCTCCATTCCTCGAAGAGCAGCTGCCGCGCCCACCGAGGACAAAGACAGCTGTGTTAACCGAACCACTTTACCAGGAAATAAGCATACCTACACGTACGTCTGGTTTGGTGCCCAACATTAAAATAAAAAGTAAGGAAAGAAAGAAGGCAGAGTAAACAGAGGTATGTCGCGCGCACTCTACGGTGCGTAGCAGGCATGCAGACTACCACAAGGACCTGTTGACTTGATGCAGTATGCCCTGTTTTATTATCACCGGCAGCCATAAAGCCTACTACTATAGATACACTAGGGGAAACTCTGGCGCTAGTGTTTACGGGAGCTGCAAAGCATGGCACTTCATCGAGCATGGTAATGATGGGTAGTACATGGATTTGCCTAGTCTTCGTTCTTCTGGGTTCATTTGGCTTCGCGTCACATGGAACTGCTTTGTCATGAAACAAAAATGAGCAAATGTTCAGCAGGTATACGCTTCACAACCTTAACGTTTTAAGCTCACCAATTCCAACTGGGTCACGAAGTTCAAAACGATCAGTTAGTTTAATCGAAATGACACCAAAACACTGCAATAAACAAAACCACGAGTGCGTTCGAAGACCGCAAGCACAAATACTAGGCAAATCCGTGTACTACCGATCATTCCTATGTTGGCTGAACGATCGCAGTTGCCTGCTTGTTAATTTTAGGAAACTCTGTGCAAACAGCAACGTCCACGGACACGGCAGCGACCTCGAATGATATGTTCATGGTCCAAGGATAATAATCCCTAAAAGCGGCCTTGGATTGAGTCGATATACTACGAAGAAAGCATAAGATACTCCGTGGAGCGTGAAATTCGATCGTCGACGGCGTCGACACGAGCGACGCGAAAAATCGTCATCGCTTATGACGTCACCAGGGCGTCACGTAGCGTGACATCACGCGATGACATCATCAAATGACGTCAAATCTCTGTCGGAGGTGAGCCGATCACGGAGGCACAGCAAAACCAGACGAACCGCTCAAACCTTTCGGATGGAAAAATGAGGGTTCAATAGATCGACCGAGAATATAATTTGAGGCATTTTCGCACTATAGGGGTTTCAAGCTCGAAGAAAGTGCGTAGCTGAGCGGCCTTCTTTGTTTTGCTTCTGTATTTTTATCGCTTTCCTCCTCTCTTTCGTTCCTTCTCTGCTTTTCCGCTTTTTCTGTTTTTATTTTTGTGTATTTTTTTCACTTTTCTTGCTCGTTCTATTTTCGTTCGTGTCTCTTTCCTGTCTCTTTCTTTCTAACTCGCGCTGGCTTCCTCTTTGTCTTCCATGTTTGTACGTGGGTTTATCGGCGTTAAGCCGTGTGAACTTGTTTGTTTTCGTCTTTTGCCGACGATAAATGATGATCGTCGAGGCCTTTGAAGAACAGAAGGAGGAAGACATCTCCTTGACGCGAGCATGCGCGCTCAGTGTACTACACATTGAGCGTGATGTCAAGCAACGACGACAGCGTACTACAGACCGGTATGCGAAGGCGCTCCGCAATACGACAGATTTCGCGCTCGAATCGTCTTAAATGAATGCGTAAGGAACCCTGTGACGTTTTGCTGTCCGAAAAAAAAAACGTAACGCACAGTTTCTGAGCTTCCGCTAGAGTTGCATAACGGTGAATGAGCGATTACCGATTGGAACAATTAAGTAAGCTTTGAAACTGTCACGTACGTAGCGTGTAGAACCATGTTAGACGCAACAATGTCGCATCGGAGCGAAAAATAACTCAAGTACCATGCATCGTGATTGATTATCTAGTCTCCTTAGGCGACAGTATGAGGATTTAAGAGAATTGACGTTTTTTTAAGGTGCGTCCTTCTGTGTGGCTTCTTGTAACGGTGAAAGCTCTTTTAAATATATATGCATACTGGAGTATCCTGTCCTTTTATTTTCATGCCTCACTATGCAACAGAAAGGTTGTAGGCCCCTGTACCCAGATTTGGGTGCACGTTAAAGAACCCCAGGGGGTCGAAATTTCCAGAGCCCTATACTACGGCGTCTCTCATTATCGTACGGTAGTTTTGGGGCGTTAAACCCCACATATCAATCAATCATCAATTATTCATTTACAACAGAAAGATTTGTGAATGCTCAATTGACAAAAAAAGCGATGTTCACGAAATATGCATATGCGATGGCGGACGCCGTTTCCTTTTTCCTGTACGTTCATACGCCTTCCTAAAGAAAGACGGATTCACGCTAAGCGAAGTAAATTCGAAGGCATAATTTACGCTTAGTTGCGCGTTACACAGTTACTTCAGTCACGCGTAGTACATCCACGGGCCCTCTAGAGCGATTAACATCGTTCTTGTAGCGAGTCAGCCGAGAGATCTGCGCGCACACCGAAGGCACGAGAAAACTGCGATGAAGACAATCGACAACGGGTAGTGTGTTATTTATAATGTTTACGGGTTGAGACTACGGTATGTAGCTTGTAAGCACATAACCAATGCTTTCCTTGACGACAGCCGAAACAGGCGAGAATGGCGTAATATTTTTATGGGACTTCACGTTTTGTACTCGGTTTACTTTTCATGCAGCCGAGTCCGCTCTTCGCAAATCTTTGATACGCATTCTCCTTTTTTTTTTTCGGCACCAGCTTGGCTGATTTTAAGCTTCTCGCTTTTTTAATGCGATCGTCTGCTAGAGGGAAAAAAACGCATAAGTCAAGCCAGACTTCCCAGTGTTTCTTTTTTTTTTGTATTATAAATGTACAGATATTGTTTTCTCCCTGTTTATGATCTTCGCTCCTTTTATTTCACGCTCAAGTCTGAACCGGGAAAAGAAGTGATGACGTGCGAGGGAAACAATATTGAGGTGGAAATAGGGAAAGCTGCTGCTTCAAGACTGTTCCTGCCAACGACGCCGTACCGATTCCGGACGCCACGACTTCTGAATACTATAAATCCACGCCTCGCACACCACAATGTAGAATCGCTTTCAGGACTGTCCGAAATTGAACATTCCGATGCATTTTATGTTTGTCTTTGTCTTGCGCCTGTTGTCATTTTTTTTATGGAGCTTTATCCTGCCTGTTCTATCATCGTTCCCTACTTGTGAAGCGTGAATATTTTCATGAAAGTGGTTTCACATATGCCAGCTGTTTTTCCCACAACCTTTAAAACGGTACTCAACGTGAGAAAATATACCGCCTTCGCGATTATTTCCTTGATATATAGAGCTAAAAGAAGTGTTTTACTATAAGTGTCTGCAATCCCGCTTTTTCTCCTGTTCCGCGATTTCAACATTGCCTCTTTTTTTTAAAATTTTTGGTTCGCCTTTTCGCATCGACGTAAACTTATGAATTAATGTCACATTTTATGAAGCTCACGTTTCAGAACTGAGCTGGTATAGAGAGAACGGGTCGTTCTTTTTTTTTCAGAATTCTTACTTTTTAAGCAACTAAAAAAAGTATATGTTCTCTTCAGCTATTTTCATGCGTAGCAGCTTATGCTGTTCACGACTTCATCTCCGTTAAAACCGTATCGGCGGGAAGGCAACCTTCGTACGAGCAATCTTGTTGAGTGGCTCGTTTCAATTTTAGTTTTTATTTTAGGGGCGAGGCTTTTTAAGGCGTGCGTCTGTACATCATCCGTTGTTGTACGTAGCCACCATTGGCACGCACCCACTCTAGAGCGGGTATGTGCCACAGGCGATCCGAGATGTTAGATGGCAGTACTCGGAGTGTTCACTAGATGGACGCACGCACGGACGCATAAACGGGCGGACAGACAGACTAGCAGACGGACGAACGGATGGACGGATGCGCTGAGCGGGTATGTGCAACATGGGATGCGAGATGGCGGAACTTAGAGTGTTCATTACATGGACGCACGGACAGGCGGACAGACAGACTAGAAAACGAACGGTCAGGTCGGCGGACGCGTGGACGAACGGATGGACGGATGGACGCACGGACAGACAGACGGACGCATGGATGGACTCACGGATGGTCACGCGGGTGGACGGAAGCAAGAACGAACGGATGCACGGAAGCACGGACGGGCTGACGGACGCTTCACCCCACTCATCGCTATTCACTCCGTGGATATGCTGTGATTTTTTTCTTATAAATGTGAAACAGAGTAAAAGAAAAACAGTAATTTAGAAAAGGGACTCTTAACTGCAAGACTCAATGCGATTCCTCATGCTATTTCGTGGATGAAAGCAAAGTACTAAACAACTTAATATTACTTTTAAAAAAGCTAGCATGAGAAAACACACTTGAGTAAGTAAAATAAGTGAAAATGCAGTATTACGTGCATATAGAGAACGTTGTACCCATTTTGTTGTTTATGTACGGATTGCACATTTAGGTTGGTGGTCACAGAAGAGGTGTATAGTAAGAGAGAGAGATAAAGTGAAAAGGAAGACAGGGAGGCTAACCGGAAGACAGTATCTGGTATGCTTCCCATCTCTGGGGTTGGGGAAAGAGGTATGTGAGTTCGTGATTATTGAAGTCCACGTGTAGAAATTATGTACACGATTTGAAGCTCACAAAATTTTGTGTGTCTTTTTGAGCGGCGTCATGGCTGCACAAGTTTTGTTTTTATAAAAAAAAACTAAACTTTCCATTTACAGCACGTTGTCATTACTAATAAGAGTATGATTTCTTTGTTTCAGGCAATCGTCGGGTTTTAGACGACAAGAACAAAATCTCGATCAGAGCAAAGTCACTTAGTAGTGACAAAGAATATGCAGTTGAACATTGCGAGCCGCTAGGCTTTGCCTACTGTAATTTCCATTCATCATACCTGATCTCATGTCTATCAAAGACTTGCGCTGCAATGAGCGTAGATCACGAAAGGTTCAGGCCTGTTTTGAAGAGGTCGCTATCACATGGCCGTTAATAACAGCACATGGATACACTTATATCGCTGGTGTAGCCGACCATGTTAAAGATGCTCGTTGAATAACGTTAAGTACCATGGCGTTGTCACATGTACGCGCTATAACAGAAAAAAAAACATGCTTTTAAGTTAACATTTGGCAACAAAAATACAGCCATCTGTTGTTACTGCTTTATTGTTGTCGTTGCTGCTGTTTTTTCGAGATATATCAGTCATTAGCCTGCATTTGTGTACCCCACTCTGAGATAAATCCTGCTGCGAAGGCCTTCTCGTTGAGACGAGTGTGGTTACACAGAACTACCGTAATTGAATAATTGCATTCGGAGATCTCGAGATACATTTGGCGACAGTGTTTAGCGAAGGGATATATAATTCAGATCTCAGTGGCATCAGTCAGCCCATTGCTTGTCTGTTTATTGCGAACAGTATCAGTTGTCAGTAGTAAAGTTATAATACAAAGCGCAGTTATGAAAATTCCAGAAACAGTATACGAAAGAGTGCTCCCATATTCGAAAGTTTCTTTTTATTGTGGAAGGCTTTTCGTGCTTCCACTTATGTATAATGCTCAATTTCGCTTACACAATTCGAGAAGCGACATCTACGCGCCTCAACATCACACGTTCGCCGTTCACCAGTTTCTATTGTCTTCATCGCACTAGATATAAAAACAATTCTGATCGGAGAAAAGTGCACAACAAAGCAAATAAAAAGCCGGGAACTATTTCACAAATAAACAAGAAAGAAAAAATAAACCGGGGGAAAAACTCCAAGACGGCGACAGTAGGCAGCCACAATACCCCATCGGTGGCACCCTGTCTCCGTTACGCCTCAATCATTCTTCTTCCGTGTAACGTCGGCATCTACCGATGGAAATGAA